TAAACTATACATGCACTTATGGGGCGAAAAAAATGGCAGTAAATTTAAATAAACTCTGAAACGGTTTCGTTAATTCGGTTAATATAGACCTTTTTGTAGTATAAATACCGGTGCGTTTTGGCTTGTATTTTGTAGGCTTTGTATGAATTATCAAATAAGTGACAATTCTTTCAATAAGTGACAATTCAATTCAAGGAGAATTCAATTCAGTGACAATTCAATGAGTGACAATTTATATGAGCATATTGTTATTTTGAAACTGTATACTAATCATAAAAATACTGTACGAGCTTGTCATATATTTAATATATATGATTAATAATATGAATCAGTTGGAAAAATAGTTTTCGTCATGCGCAATATCTTTTAAGTGCGTAACTACGTCACTTCCGTCACCATCTGTTGCGGTGCACGTTGAAACAAAATAAGCCAAAATTGTAGTCCCAAAAATTTCGGTTTAATAACCGTTTCTTAAAATTTCCTTGTACAGGTATGCTAAGTGTATCATATCTAAACTGTATACACAAAATAAAAGGTTTTGGTTCAGAAACACGCCAGTTATGTACATTCGAAATATTTGACGATCGGGGGTTTCATCCCTTTCTATTATTTATACGTGTAAGCAAAGTCAGTCATTCTAGTATGAGCCCACGCTACTATGGTCAGTCCTTGTAATACAATGTTTGAATTACATGAAGTAGTAGGCATGATATTATCGAAAAAAAATTAAAATCAACATAATTTTCATCGTGATGAAACCTGGATGAAACTATGCGATATAAGGATGATGACAAGGTATTTTAAATAAACACATTCGTACTTTTCTGCCCCCTGTGATAAATTTGCTTGTTGTTCGTCGCGCGCATGTGTATTTTATTTGGCGTGGCGGTCTTTGTTATCCATCTGTGAATTGACACATGCACGTTAGTTTACAGTGGTGTAACTTGACAATTTTTACCACTTGCGATCGGGGCAAGTTAAACATGAATGTTAGTTTCCAGGAATTAAATTTACTTGCCATGCACGAGGTCTAAATGAATTTGAAGCAAATTTTATTGCAGAATTTATTTTAGTGGCAGTTAATTTCTGGCAAAACAACCTGTTCGATCAGTCAACCAAGAAGCAACTTCTACTTTCTCACGTAATGAATTTTACTTGCCTCGGGCAAGCGCTAACCTACACCACTGATTTCTTTTCAGGAAAAGAAACCTTGAACAGGAAAGAGTCATTAAACTTTAGTCACTATACTAATCACATATTTTGCCTCATTTCCAGCAGTCGACCACCTCGTCAATGTTCAAGAGCAGAGTTGTACTTGAGGAAAATTTACATTCCGGAGAAAAGTAAGTTTTGCAGACCGAACCCCGAGCGCGTGAATGGCACATGCCCTATATATCTAAATATGCCATCAAACTAACGTTATTAGATAAATCGTTCCAAATTTTTCCTGTGTTTTTGTTATTTTGTAGATTTTAAATTTTCAACACAAACTCTTTCCGTAGTCATGATCTGCTCTATTCTACTTTACCTTGTAAGTTATACAATATTTATGAATCGATTTATTCATTAATATAATAATGTGATTAGATTGATGTTATATGCTATCAACAACAACAATGACAAAAACGACAATAACAACAACGACAACGACAACAATAACACTAAGACTACAAAACGAACATATAGTATAGTACAAACGATTCAAAACGATACTAATTAGCTACATTAAGTGACTTAATTGAAGGCATGGCAAGTGTTTTGAAACTTAATTGGGGTTGATTGGCAAAGATTGTTAAATGGGATGTGATTCCAAGTAACGATTGTTCTTGGATAAAATGAAAACTTATATACATTGACACACGACTGAATTTGGCGGTAAGGACAGATATTAGGCAGCCTGGAAACTACAACTACATTGTAGTTGGTAAAAGCAATTTGATTGGCTAAGAGCTTACAGTTAAATCACGCAACTTACAGAAAATGCAGTTATATCTGCTAGCAGATACTCTGAGCAGATAAATGATGATTAGCAAGCGGTATCTATTTAACACAAACAAATGTATAATATTCGGCTCGGCTGATAACGCTTACCGAGATTTTAAGTTTCACATCAGTTGTACCAAAGATTATAAGCGCTATAGCGCATCATAAGTTTCAGATGACATGCAACATGTACGCATTGCGTACCTATTTTTTTGATAAGTTTTCCTTGACAACTTTTATTTGTTCGTGCATATGTACGGCAAAAATCGGCATTGATACCAGTGGGCCCTCATTGATACCAGTGATACATTACTGAAGAGGTTACCCTACGGAAATAAATATGATTTGATTTGATCTGACTTGATTTGATAATTTCCTTAACAGGGAAAATTGTTCATGTATACGACCGACAAGGAAAACCTGACGACTATTTGCGCAGTACGTACTGCACACTCAAAATGTTAATATAAAATATTATAATATAGCATTTGTATATTCTGAACGCTGATTGGCTAAGAGCCGTGTTGATGGTCAACACGGAAACGTCGGAAAATTTCTTTCTGTATGTTTTTTTGTGCTATATTATAAAACAAATATAAACATTTTTTCCGTATTGATATACAGTTATATCAACACTCGTAGAAATTGGGACAACTCGAAATTGTTTGAAAACGCATCGTGTTTCCACACAATTTCTCGTTTTCCCAATTTCCACTCGTGTTGATATACAGTGTATATTAACAAGGAAAATGTTTTATATTTGTTAAATGTCACAATGTTATATAAATTTTCGACGTTTTAGAGGTGCCTGCGGAGGAGGTTAGTTTTGAACGAAAATCCGGTTATTAATTTATGTCTCGCTGTTTAGGAACGCTGAGCCCTATCCCGCTATTCTTACCCTGACTCTAACCGCTGACCCATGAACAGCGAGACATGAACGAATCTTCATCCGAAAATACCATGGAATTGTTCGCATATTCAAGTAGCACGGGCTCGTAAAACTGCATGGTCAAAGAAAAATTGATCGAAAAAACGTGTTCAGTTGTTCATCGTAATCATGAGCAAGTAAACTCGTCAAGAAACGATGGGTAATACGTCAGACCAAATATTCATCTGAACGGATGATCCTCTAGTAAATTGGGACAATGTTTTTTTTGTAGGTCTCAATACAACTTCTGTATTTTGCAAGTTTACGTTTGGATATAGTTTATAAGAATCCTGACTCTCTTTGGTTCGAGATTGAACGTGGGATGGCTGGTTAGTTTTGTTCGAAATATCTACTTTAGGTTTTTCTGTATTGAATTTAGAGGACATCAACAGCAAAATTCATGTTAGTCTATAGTATAAAACAACTCATTTTATAACGTTTCATTTGTTACGTTTTTGAGAATTTAAATGCCGTTTTAATAAAACTGTTTCATGAATTGTTAAGTTGCACTCCTATGACATGATCATCAGATTCAGTTTATTTACATACCACACAAACTAAAATATTTTAAAAACAAAGACTGAAATAGTCTTAATATTCCAAACATTAATTTTAAGATGTTTGCGATGTTACTCTGAGTGCATATCCACACCGGGCGAGCTTATTTTTCGGGCATATTTTTCAAGCTCGCCCGGTGTGGATATGCACTCAGAGTAACATCGCAAACATATTATTCACTTGAGTACACAACACCAACGCAGAAAAAAATTAATTTTAAGAGTTCTTTCACACTGGATCGACTTGAATTTTATTGCTGATGACGTTTAACTCTATTTAATATTGGCAATGGACCTTTGCCCTTATAACTAAAATTTTGATTTAGACAAGACTAGACAAAAATTTCATCACAGCTTGAAAGAGCATCACAAAATTAGTAATATTCCGAAGTTTCGTTGCGAAATGTTGTAAAATGCGGATAATATAGTATTGCGAAGTTTGCCGTTTTTCAGTCATTTTGTATTACGCACGGGAAATTGGCAGCCCAATCGGGTGTTGGGGCCGATCAATTTCCCGTTTGTAATACAAAATGATTGAAAATTCCAAATTTCGCAAGGCTATATTAGCCGCATTTTAAAACATTTCGCAACGAAACTTTGGACTATTACTAATTTTGTGATATATTACGAATAGTCCGCGAATAGTCGACGCACGCAAATTTACGGTACAGTATCTGTTATTAAATTGCTAATCTTCACTTTTTTAAATAGTTATTTTAACACTGTTTAAAGTTCTACAATGAATTATTGTGATTTACTGATGAACGCCGTAGTGAAATAGATATTAATGAAATGTGTGCCGTTTTATACTCCAGAGCGTAAATCGCCTGTAGTAGCTACTGCATGTTATTAAGAAGTATCAAAACTGGGGCTTGGGACTGCGGAGTTGTATTCCCATAGTGAGTCTGAAGCATTGAAAGAAATATAACTGGAACGCTACCTCCAACTGGAAATTTGAAATCAAACTTGAAAGCCGGTCCCAGACTTTTCACGCATGAGAAGAGCTGCCTCCTCCGCAGGCCCTCGTTGCGTCATGGGAAGGTCACGATCTGGCGAGGGCCTGCGGAATCTTGTAAAAAAATGGCGCCGGCGTCACGTCAGCAAGTAAATTTCTACATAATCTTGAATATAAACAAGATATTAAAAAGCGGCGTGAAACTTGTAAATTAAACTGACGACTCTTAGGTCGTGGAAGGAAGCATTTTTTAACGATAAGGTTTGTTGTCCACACCAACGATACACGAATAAAACTGCCTTCTTTAACGAAGCAGGTTCAAAACAACATTTATTCATTTTACAGGATTCCGCAGGCCCTCTCAAAATCGTGACCTTCCCATGACACAACGAGCTAGGGCCTGCGGAGGATCAGGCAGTGCGAAGAGCGGTCAATCGTGATATAAACACGCGTGATATAACCTCCAGACACGCGTGTCAAGATTTGGCGTCATGACAAAGATGGGCAGGTTATCTGAAGGCAGCGTTCCAGTTATATTCATTTCAATGGTCTGAAGTAATTTGCCAATATACTAATTGCGATAAATTATGACGCGCATGTGAACAGGTTTTTATGTGCGCAAAATTTTATGATACTGTACATAAAATTGTACACAAATTACCTTTATAAAAAAATAGCATAAAAGTCACTTCGAGTACACTTTTTTATTTTAGTTTTTATAATGTTTAATAATACACAACAGAAAATTTTTAAAAAAATCTTGAAAAACTCACAGAACGTCTATTTCATCATGAATTGGCGAACATCGTTTTATTCGAAATATTTGTCGACTATTCACCACTATTCGTTAATTATTTTCTGACTATTCGCACTATTCTTGTTTTATCAATTGCCATTTAATATGTACTGAAGTCGATTGTGATGAGTATACTCTTTAGAAAATGCAACGTATTTCCCTAATGCTGTCAGAGCTTAAGGCCGTTTTCCATCATCGTTCGCTTTGCCCGTGTTGGTGAAGCGTTCATTGTTTTTTACGCCCGTCACGCCCGCGTGAGCAGATTTTCAAAGCCCTCTCCGCCAGCGCGGCCAAAGCGACTGCAATGGAAACCGGCCTTTATGTATAGATTTTATAACTTTTTTATAGGTTCGTTGATCGTCGCTCCTATTGTTACTGCCACAGTTTGTGTTTTCTCTCTTATACGTTTCATGGAAAATCACAAGTATGTTTAATAATCCCGTACAGGCAAACATGTTTCCTTTAACAAGTTTTTCTTCACAACTTTTTGTGATAAGTTTTCCATGACTATTATAGTTCTCTTTGATTAGTTTTTTTTGAGAGGTTTTCCTTGCTAGGTTTCTCTGACAAGTTTTCCTCGCTAAGTTTCCTTGACAAGTTTTCCTTGACAAGTTTTCCTTTACACGTTTTCCTTGACAAGTTTTCCTTAACAAATTTTCGTTACGGGTTTTCCTGCTAAGTTTCATCGACAAGTTTGCCTTGCTAATTTTTCTTGACTAGCTTTCCTTGCTAAGTTTCTTTGAAACGTTTTCCTTGAAGTAGATAATATTAGGGAATGTAAAAGACAGCTGACGTTGAATATTGACATGTATTATATATAGATTATTTTGGTTGAACGTACTAATAATCTACTAATGTTTTATTAATTAATCTTAAATATATTTTGCGAGGTAACTAAGGAAATTTTATGTATTTTTTTATGTCATAGGTAAGGGAATCCTTATATAGGATTACCCTCTGGATCTCCTGCAAAGACCTATATACTTTGCATAAATTGTTGATTGATTGC